CGAGTTTCCATCCTGCTCAGCAAAGGGCAGTTCTGGGAAGTGCCGCAGAGCTGCCCACAGACCCAGCATGGGGGAGGGAGAGGGCTGCTGGGGCCAAGCCAGGGAGGGCAGCCTCCTGTGTTCCCCCTCACCCTCAGAGGAGATGAGATTGTTGTGCAGATTGAGGGTTCGAAGACCACTGAGGCGGGACAGCTCATTGTAGGGGAGCTCCTGCAGCTGGTTGTTCTGGGGAGGGGCATTCACACCCCTGACCCGGATGACCCTGAGCCCTCAACAAAAGCCCCCAGCCCTGATTCTCAGCTTCCCATCAGCCTAAGCAGGAGAGCCCCAACACCCCATTGCCCCCAGAGTTGATCCCAAATGCCTCATCACCCCTTAGCCAAAAGGACTTTAATCCCCAATACCCCATCCACCCCTATAGTTGACTCCTGACACCCATCACCTTCACCCCAGACAACCCCATAACTGTCAAGATTTTGACCCCCTGTCTCTCAGCCCCTCCCACATCCAATATCTGTACCCCACCTCCAACACCAGGGCCAACTTCCATCAGTGCCAATACCCACACGCCCACTGCCTCACCCCTGCATAAGGACCTCACACCGTCACTCAATTCCAGCACTTCCCATGCTCGTCCCACTTCACCCCACCCTGTAATGTCCCCCCCTCACCTGCAGGGAGAGGTGCTGAGCCTCCCTGGTGATGTTGTGGGGGAACAGCCACAGGTCCAGGCCATCGCAGTCCACGGTGTCAGCCCGGGGGCAGGAGCAGCGCAGGGGGCAGGCCCGGGGTGGGGGCAGCGAGCTCTCCCCCATGTGGGGGAAAGCAGGGTCCTCCATGCCGGGGGTAGTTGGGGGGCCCAGCAGCAGCAGGAGCAGCAGCAGCAGGCTCAGCCGCTGGGAGTGGAGGGACAGGTCAGGGCATAGCCAGGTTGGGCACCCTGTCGCCATGGCGACAGGAGCATCCCAGGCCGGCCTCACCCTCATACCTTCCCCCACCCCACCTCACCATAGCCAGCCCCAGTTCAGCTGTCTTGCCCGAACTGCCGACCAGGGCTTCCTAATGGAAACCAGGCGGTCACCTCCTGGAGCCTCTGCTGTGGCCGCCACCGCCCCCCATCTCCTGGCACAGGCCACCCTCCCTGCAGGCTGTTCCCCCGGGGCTCAAGAGCGCTGTCCTACCCCCTTGCCTGTTTTGGGGAGGGTGGGTGGGCTGATGGATGGGGTGGTGAGAAAAGGCCAGCCTGTCCTCTTGGCTCCCCACCCCCACCCCCCCAGCTCTGCTTGCGTAACCTCCGCCAGCTTGGGCCGGGCTACGGGAGCAAGGAATGTTTGGGGGAAAGCTAAGATTCACCCTGTCTGGTATTTGGGCCAACCACAGGAGTAGGGGTGGAGGCAGAGGAGTGGGGGATGCTTCAGGCCGCAGGAGGGTCCCCAAGGACCTGAGGCTGGCGGGGAGGGGTCAGGGCAGGCCTGGGCTCAGCCTGCTAAGCCCAGACACCAACCTGGAGGCTCTCAGCCAGGCCTGCTCTCCGGGCTCCTCCCCCCACCAGCTGGCCTCACTGGCAGTCACACCCCTCCTCACCCAAAATGGCCACAGCCGCCGCTGCCTGGAAGGAAATTACACGTGTGGAGGCACCAGCCTGGCGGTTAAGGATGTTCACACAGGGCCAGCCTGCCTGGGCTTGAACCTGGGCTCGGGCTCCTCTCTGGGGCTCGGTTTCCCACTCTGCAGAGTGGAGGAAAGGTGGTCTCACCTCCAGGATGGGTGTGAGGGTTAAGGGAGAGCATGCCTATGAAGTGGGAAGACAGTCCCCGCACATCGTGTGTGCCACCGGGTGAGGCAGACAGACAGCAGTAGAGCAAGGACGATGGGCCAGGTGCAGAAGGTCACCAGGGCAGGACACCTCCAGGAGCCTGGCAACGGGCAAAACTGGGACAACAAGGACCTCCCCCAGGATAAGCTTCCTCCCCTGGTGTCGCGGTTTAGACCCCCTGACCTTTCGTATTGCTGGCCATGGGACTTGGACCTTCCCTTGACCTTTCCTCCCCTGACGCGTTGCCAGTCACGTGGTAGACCCCCTTGGAGGAGGAGCAAGGGATCAAAGAATGGCCTCATGCGGCTCCCATGCGGGCCCTTGCTCAACCGCCCCCATAAGCATTAACCCCCAGGGATAACATCTGGATCTCAGTTGTGTCTCAGCCCCAGGCCCAGAAAAGCAGCAAGGCCAGGTGGGGTGACACCATGGCTGACAGGACCAGCTGCCAGGAGTAATGACTCCCTCCCCTGGCACCGACCAATAGAGACCACGACCCTGAAAGGACACACCTGGAAAAGCTGGTGAATATTCTCATTGAGATCCTCCCCTGGGACCTCCCCTAAGATCCCTGCCTTTGGAGAGGGGAGAAAAGCCCCAGGCAGAGGACCCAGCTCACCTCTCTATCCCACACTCTCCATCGCACCTGTGCCCCCCTTCCCCCAGCGCCATGCCCTTTCTCTGGAACACACCTGCACCTCCCCCCTCCTTACCCCAGGCACATGCATCCTTGCTTGCTTTCTCCTAAGTTCCTAGGGCCCTTCTTTAACCTCTGTCACTTGTTTCCTGAGCCCATGTAGCCCGGCTGGCTCACTTCTATCTCTGTCACTTTCTAAATAAACTTCTGCTTGTATTTGAGTCTTGGCTCTGAATGCTTTCTTAACCAGAACTCAACTACTGAGGTGACTGAACTGAGGTCCAATTGCTGGTAACATTCTGGTGCCATTTTGCTGCAAATAGTCTGGTCTCTGAGACATGCCACTTACCAGTGGGGTGACTTCAGGCAAGTTATTTTCCTGCCCCAACCCCAGCTTTCCCACACCTAAAATGGGACGACAGCAGACCCTGCCTCAAAGGGTTGTCACAGGCAAAACCAGTAACAGACAGATGTTCTAAGACCACATCTGACCCTCCCAAGCCCTAGCGGCTGAGGCCATGGCTGCACGAAGGGCATGAAGGAGGTAGGGATCCCTGGAAGCAGAGCTTGAGACAAGGATTGTGTGTGTGTTTGTCTCGGAGAAGGAAGCTGTAGGGAAGCGGGGAGGTGACAAAAGAAGGAAGGAAGGGAGCAGTCAATAATCAATAAGTTATCACTGGGGTTATCAACTTGCCTGGATCTTGCCAGTCTTAGCACTCAAAGTCCTGTTACCCAGAAAACCTTTAGTCCTGGGCAAACTGGGGTGATTGGTTGCTATTGTTATCAACACATTCCTGCCATAGACAACTGGGGGCTCACTCCCACTGGGGAACACTAGGAGATTATGTAGGACACACACCTCAGAGTCACCCACCTGAGGGGCAATGGAACTGGGATATTGATCCTGTACTTCCCTCCATCTATCACTGATGGAGGGCTGCCCCCGAGGGGCCTGAATTCTGCTGCACTTTGGGTAGAGCAGGCTCTAGTCCTAAAGAGATACAGGTGCCTGATGGTGAGGCCCGAGGGCATGAAAGGCCCCAGATAGCACCTGCTATAGGAGGCTATGGGGTCCAGCCATGGGGAGTTGGCAGTGAATTGCATCAGGTGGGTGGTAAGAAGGGAGCAAGATGTAGGAGAACCCTGGCTAGTGTTGTTCAGTGGTTGGAGCATCAGCCCAAGCACCAATAGGTCTCAGGTTCAATTCTCTGTCAAGAGCACGTACCTGGGTTTCAGGTTTGCTCCCCACCCAGTTGGTGTGCCTGTGGGAGGCAACCAGTCAATGTGTCTCTCTCACATCAATGTTTCTCTATCCACTCCCTCCCTCCCTGTCCGAAAAGTAATGGAAAATATATCCTCAGGTGAGGATTAAAAAATATAAATAAATAAAAAAGGGGGACATGGAAGTTAAAAGTATATGGAGAAGCCTGGTCAGTGTGCTCAGTGGTTGAGTGTTGACCCATGAACCAGGAAATCACAGTTCAATGGGTTTCGGGCTCGATCCTCAGTGGGGGCGTGCAGGAGGCAGCCGATCAATGATTCTCTCTCATCATTGATGTTTCTATC